TTAGGGTTGTATTATTTGTTTGTATTTGGTTTCTTTGTAATGGAATTTTTCAGTCTTAGTAGTGTACAAAGAATGGTATATTTGCTAGATTGTTTTCCTAAATTTTATTTTCACACATTAAGTAATGTGTCATTTTGAAACAGGATTTGGTCTTTGACCTGGAATTCAACACAATAAAAATCCTCTTCTCTAAATTTTGCTAAATCTGTCAGATATTCTAAAAAGTTAGAGTTGGCCTTGGGCTAAACACTTGAGGCTAAGTTTATCCGCTCTTAGAAATAATGCAGGAGGCAGGAAAGTTCTGGAAGTACTGAAAGCAAATTCAGGACATTTTGAAACATTCAAGAACTTAGAAATAGTACCGATTGTGAAAGAGTGACCTATTTCAAAGCTAGGCACAGGTACAGCTAGCTATTCTTATACTAAATCCAGACTGTCCCCACCTCAGAAACAAGAGATTTGTATCTGCAACAGTGGCTTTCTTAGATATCGCTCTATCAATTTAAAGTGGTGAGTAACTGTGGTGTCATCTTAGATGTTGTCTGTGAACCATCTTTCTTACTGTGATTGCCTAATAAAATTTTATGTTTTTCTTTCATTCTTCCATTCAGAAATCTTTATGGGGGCTGGAAGATGGCACAGGGGGTAAAGTCCCTTGCTGTTGAGCCCGAGGAACTGAGTTCAATGCCCAGAATCCACACCGTGGGAGAAGAGAACTGGCTTTCTTAAGTTTTGGTCTGCCCGCACACATGTGCACACACAAAATAGACATTTGAAAAAGCTGGGCATGGTAGTGCATGCCTTTAATCCTAGCATTTGGGAAGCAGAGGTAGGAGGAGCTCCGTGAGTTTGCGGCCAACCTGGTCTACAAAACACATTCCAGGATAGCCATGACTGTTACACAGAGAAATCCTGTCTCGAAAAACCAAAGGGGAAAAAAAGCCTTTATAATTTTTGTTATAATCTGGACAAGAAGTTCTTAGATTCATGAGACTTCATTTTTAAGGAAAAAAGGAGACAATAAAGAATAATAAATATCGCCGGGCGGTGGTGGCGCACGCCTTTAATCCCAGCACTCGGGAGGCAGAGCCAGGCGGATCTCTGTGAGTTAGAGGCCAGCCTGGGCTACCAAGTGAGTTCCAGGAAAGGCGCAAAGCTACACAGAGAAACCCTGTCTCGAAAAACCAAAAAAAAAAAAAAAAAAAAAAAAAAAGAATAATAAATATAATAAGTAGTACATAATATCATAAGTATAACATGAAGATAAGCACATTTGGCAGAAAATAATGAGCAACAATTTAGGCAGTGACTATACTTGAGTACTAAGGCTGAGTAGTTGGTCTGTTCTAGAGCGTTCCATTTACCTGGGTAAACTGAGTAAATAATTTTTGTTATTATGCAGAGAAAAGATACCAGCAAAGGAAAGGGTCATATATGGAGAATAAATCTGGTAGACTGAAGGACTTCACAACCAGAAACCATGGGGCACAAGGGAGGGGGACGAGTGGAAGATAAAAACAAGAGAGGAAGTAGCATCTAGATGAAGGAGAGCTTGAAACCTAAGCCAATTCGGATTTTTTAAAACTGCTAGTGCAAACATCTAGGGTTTGAAGCAGGAAATTGTCTGATTCTTTTCAATTCCTCCTTGTTAAGTTATCCCAGATTAACAGACTCGTGGATCTCTTTAAAGGCCTAGCTCACTTACCATCATATTCATGGAAAAGCATTCTAAAATACTGGGTGGGTATTGGGTGGTTCTGGGGCTCCAAAGCTATCCTGGGGGCCAATTCTTCACTTGGTTTCCGTTTCTATCAAAGACGATCTAAGGCACTGGCTGGAACTCACCAATTTTCTTCTCTTCTGACAAGATGGACAGTGTAAGGCCGGGGGCGTGGCTCAGTGGTAGAGTACCTGAGTAGCCTGTCCTGTCGTCACTCTCCAGTACTGCAAAGGACACTGGTAGATCAGCAGCATGGGCAGGTACAGTCAGATATGATGAGCTATGGATTAATGGAGTCTCTACCTGGAGTCCACTATCAGGCTTCGTGATCCTCTCTCCCTTTCTTATTTTTGAATTTGATGTGGGTCAGTTACAAAATGGCGGCTTCACAGAGAAACGTTCAAGCCGTTCTTACAAGGGTCAGCTTTGTCTTAAGGTTCAAGAAAGTTGCATCTGTGTGGAAGAGGCCTTGTTTTCTGGAAATCCCCGAGGCCAGGAGGGTCAGACTAAGTGATCTGTAGCAAGGACCTTGCAAGATGCTTGAGTCAGGTTTGTGGCTACCTAGCTACCATGAATCTTACAGTCACAGTATTTCCCAGACTGCATACTTGAGTTTTTTACCTTACCAGTGTCTTCTCTATTCTCGATTTCCCTATCTCTGCATTTCCCTGTTGTAAAAATGCAGAGTGTATGCTTCTACAGTTCCTTCCTCTACTACACGAATATCTCGTTTTCCAACTTATCTTTTCTCCTTAAGTATTAATTCCTTCCGTGTTGTTTTAAAATGGTAAGTGGCACTGGTTACTGTGTGGAGAGGTCATGAGGCATGAGCCACGACAAAACCCAGTATCATAGCTTTATTGGGGGTGGGGGGACAAAAGAACCAGGCCTGGGGAAGAAGCACGTGCAGAGAACAGAGAGAGAGAGAGAGAGAGAGAGACAGACAGACAGACAGACAGACAGACAGAGGTAATGGAGGGAAGAGAGACAGAAAAGGGTGTGTGTGCTGTATCTGGCTTTTTAAGGATACCCGTGAACATGCCCAGGTGGGCTTACGGAGCTACGCCATGCATGCACTGATTGCGTGACCACGGCATTACATGTATTCACCAGCACGCACTGATGACGTAAGATGCAAGACCCCTTGCTTAGCTGCTGAACTGTGGATGTGTGGTCATGCAGCTGGAGTGGCGGCAGGATCCTAACATTCGGAGTAATCTTGTGACTCATTAATCTTCTTGTACACACCGGTTATAGAGCAGTGCATTGCTCACAATAATGCTAAGTAAACAAGTTTGGAATGCACAGATGAGTTCTGGAATTGTCCTTAAACTGTCCTTCTCATCCTAACATTCTATCGAATGCTGATCTCCTGGGGTTTTTTGTTTGTTTGTTTGTTTGTTTGTTTTGGTTTTTGGTTTTTCAAGACAGGGTTTCTCTGTGTAGCTTTGTGCCTTTCCTGGAACTCAGTCTGTAACCCAGGCTGGCTCGAACTCACAGAGATCCGCCTGGCTCTGCCTCCCGAGTGCTGGGATTAAAGATGTGCACCACCACCACCACCGGCTGGTCTCTTGGCTTTAAATTCCTTTTGGCATTTCAATTGACTCTGCTGTGTTTCCTCAGACTCAATTTCACACACTCATTAGCTTTTTCCAGCTTCTCCACTTTTATAGACAATACCAACTTCTTTGTTCTTTCCTAGGTCACAGATTTTATAGTACCTTGTTTCAGTCTTAATATTCTGAATTGCCATTTACTCCACCTTATTGACTTAAACCCTAGTTTAGACTGCCATTATCTAACTTCTGAAAAAATACAGCAGACATTTTTCTGCCTAGAGTGTTATTCTGAATAAAATTTCCTCCCTTCTAAAATTCAGCTGCGTAGCTCTGCAATATCAATCATTTTCTTTTTTTCTTTTTACTTTTTTTTTTTTTTTTTTTTTGGTTTCTCTGTGTAGCTTTGGAGTCTATCCTGGATCTTGCTCAGTAGACCAGTCTGCCCTAGAACTTACAGAGATCCGCCTGCCTCTGTCTCCCGAATGCTGGGATTAAAGGCGTGCACCACCGTCTCCTGGCCAATATTAATCATTTTCAATGACACATACATCTTATTCATAAACTCATGTTGTGGTCCACTTTGAAGGTATTTCTGCATACTGAGTGCATGTTAGACAACCATTTTTCTCCATGCAACCTTATTTAATGTTCCATAAACTAAATGAGACAGTATTTTTGTATGTTATTTTACAGATAAGAAAATGGAAATTTAGTTATAACAGGTTGTATATTTTAAGGAAAAAATGGTAGAATCGAGATTTTAACACATGTATATTTACTTAGGAAGTCTGAACACTGCCTAATTGCTGTCTTAGTACTAACATCTTGAATTTTTGCTTCATCTGGAAGAATTTCCATGACATAGTCCACCCAATGTTATGCTCTTGAATCTTCTATGCCACACTTCAATTATCTCTCAGAGATTTCCCTCTGCTTTTAAAACTTCTACTGGATTGTAAACACTTTAATGTACAAGGATGCCTGGGTTACGTCTTCCTTTAATTAATGAGAGTCTTCTATGGAGTCCCCACAAAAAAACTGTCAGTAAATAATATATAAAATTTTACATAGTCTTTCATAAATATGCATGCCTAACAAATTGTTACAATATTATTATTATTATTATTATTATTATTGATGCATCAGATTGAAGACCCTTGTGCTTCAGCGTCTTACAGTCTGACTAAAGGATACCCAGATTTGAACGCTACATGTTAGGGTCACCCCACCCTTCCTATAAAGCAGCATCAACTACGATATAGACACTGCCATAACATAAATAGCAAAATCACGGCTGTTGTCTTTTCAATGTACTGGAGAAAGAAAAATGAAATAATATTTTTTTCTTTCTTTTATGGTGAGAATGTAAATGTGATTTTCATCTTCATTTAACTTTGAAGAAATCACTAAGAGTGCCTTTTCAAGTGTTCCTGGATCAAGATTCTTATGTCCAGAAACTAGTACGATAATCCCTGATTGATACCCAGGCCTGGAAACCAGCTTCAGTCAGAGTCATAGTTCCGCAGAAGCCGGGAAGGAAACCGGCGGACCTAGGACCGCGCGGAAGCCGAGTTCTCGAAGTCCACAGACTCCGCGGGCTCCTGGGAAACCCGCGTCCGGTCACGTGACGCCGCCCGCCCCACCCCCCGGAAGTCCCGTGACCGCGCCGGGGTGGGGGTGGGGGTGGGGGCGTGTCTCCAGGTCGCTCCGCGTGCAGTTACCTGAGAGACGCGGGAGTTTCGGTGCGGCCGCGGCTGCGGAGGCGAAGCGCGTCTTCGGAGCAGGACCTCGAGCTGCTCGGCGGCCCGGGAGCGGCGCCATGGAGGTGGTGGACCAGGCCGCGGCTCAGCTGCAGACGCTGCAGTTCGGCGGCGCCGGCCCGGGGCCCGCGGCCGCGGCTGAGGAGCGCCCGGACGCCGAGCAGGCGGAGCGGGCCCCGCCGGCAGGGGAGCAGCCGCCGCCGCCGCCGCCGCCGCCGCCCGCACCCCCGAGCGCCGAGGCCGGCGGGAGCCCGCCGCAGCCCGAGCGGCCGCCTCCGAGCGAGGCCTGCGTCACCGGCCCGGACGCCGCGGAGCCGCCGCAAGCCCTGCAGGCCTCGGACTCCTCGGACTCCTCGGACTCGGACTCGGACAGGTGGAGTGCAGGGGCGAGCCCCCGGGGCTGCCGGGGACCGGGGGAGGGGAGGGTGGGGAAGGGTGGGCCGGGGCCTGGGTTCGTGGTGGGTGCGCGCGCGCTTTGCGGGCCGGCGCCGGTGCTGGTCGGTGCGCACGTGCGCCCCGGGAACCTGCACCCACCTACCTACCTGCCTGCCTGGGCCCGGCAGCATCGCTTGCCCGTGGTGTCCGCTCAGTTCTAGGAGTTGCCACCTCCTTCCCAAACTTGAGAGTCCGCAAAGTCACAAGTAGAGGTAGTAACCTGTTTACAGTGTGAAACACCCGACATTTCTAGATTCTTTTCATAACATCCAAGTTTAGCGTGTACTTCAGGGTTATGACATGAATTTTGTTTCAGTTCAGAATTGCTACTTTTTTTTTTTTCATCGAGTCCACGTTTTTTTTCAAATTTTGATCAGGAAATATGTTTCATAGTTGACTCTCTCTTTTATCAGAAAGGGTCTCCTGTGGCCCAGGCTGGTCTCAAACTGAAGCCTGGAAGGATGACAGTGAACTCCTGATCCTCCTGCCCCCACCTCCCAAGTTCAGGGTTGTACATGCACCCACCACCATTCTCCTCTTGTAGTTGTTTCTTGACAGTTAATGTTACTCCAGGAAATCTTCATAGGAAGCAGGATTCTATAAAATTTGCTAACCAATTTCTCGGTGTTTGAGGCTCCATGCTTTACACAGACATTTCCTCTCTGTGTCCATCTCGGTGGAAGAAGATCCAAACTATAGAATGTTTTCAAACTGCATTGAACATTGTCTACAGATATATGAGTAAGCCCAGGGTGAGTGGGTTCTGAACAGGTGGACATGATAGACGCATGATGGGGAGGTGTGGCATGTTTAGGAGACCATTGACTAGGACAAGGGAGAGTGATTTCTAGTAGAGGGAGAGGTGCGAAGATACAGGAAGGAGCCAAGCCAGGTCTGAGCAGCTTGGTTCCTTGGCAGTTTTAAGATGGTAGTCATCTTGTAATCAGAGCCTGTGCTGCTGGGAAACTGATCAGGAGCCAGGTTTGAAGTGAAACATGGGACCACTTAGGGTTGGGAAATGACTTCTGACTCTTTGTGGCAGAGAGTACCAAATATTTGAAGAAATGAAAAAAGTTACAACTTTTTGCCTGTGTTCTAGGTAGATAATGCTTTTGGCTTTTTTGTGTGTTTTTCAAGACAGGGTTTCTCTGTGTAGCCTTGGCTGTCCAGGAACTCACTCTGTAGACCCTTCAAATTCACAGAGATCCGACGGTCTAGTGCTGGGATTAAAGGCGTGTGCCACACCTGCCTGACCTAAATAGTGTTTTGTTAATAGATCATTGATGTCAAGTGTTTGGTAATTGTGTGACCTTTTCTGATCTCAGATGGTGCACCGGTAACAGGCCAAAGAAACAGTTCCGCCAAGTCCAGCTTAGGGAGACAGTGCATTTATGGGGTTTGTTTACAGGAGCAAAGGAAGCTGTCTCATGGAAAAGCCCATGTCACCTGGGTGACAAGGCTGTATCCCCGGAGCTCCTTGCTGTGGCAGCAGCTCTGTGAGAAGTCTCTGCCCAGCAGTTGACTGCTTTTATACCTTTAGGTGAGGGGCTGGTGCCTGAGTTTCCTGAGTCTTCTGGGCCTCTCTCCTCCATCTAGGAGGCAGTGTTTCAGTTGGGGGGAAATAGCTACACAACAGTAACCCAAAGTGGTTTTTAAGAAGTTGTGAACAGCCTCCAGTAGCAGTTTGAAGAGTGCTATGGGGAATGGGGAATAGGGGACGAAGTGATTTGGTGAGTAGGGGGGGTGGCTGCAGAGCAGATAGTATTTGAGTTGAGCCTCTAATGAAGGTATTTGGGGCAGATCAAGTAGCATAATTTCACAGTAGTGAATACGAGGGTGGAGTTAGGCTCTGTGAGGAGTGGGAGGAACTAGGGTCTGGATGTTGCTAGAAACCTGATTTTTGAGGCAATGTAAAGTTGACATACTAAGGAGCATGTTTTTTTATCTTGTCCACAGTAAAGATGTTTTGGGGGGAAATTAATATTTTTCTGTATGTTTGCATATTTTCTTAGCGAAAAGTACAAACCCATACAGCTACTGTCTTGATTTAACATCTATTAGTATTTTGATACTACTAGTTAAATGTTCTTAGACTATTTAAAACTAATTTGCTGCAGACATCATGTCATTTAAATATGTCAGCACAGCATTCTTTTTATAATTGAAAATAATTTTTTTCTTATATCCTCAACATAGTTCCCTCCGTCATCTCCCAGATCCTCCTCCCTGGTCCAAGTTCACAACTTCTTTCTTGGTGTCTGTAGAAAACAGGCCAATAGAGAATATTTTCTCCAAGCTAAGAGTGGCTTCAGACTTGCTATGTAGCCAAGGATGACCTTGAATTTCTGGTGTTCCCGCTTCCAGGAGAATTGAGGTTTCAAGCATGTATCACTTAAAGTGGACATTCTTTTATATAGATACAACACTATTAACCAGAGCATAAGTACTGTCTTATAAAATTATTCTGATCTCTTGTCCAGTCCTAATTTTTTTTTAAAGCTAGAGCAGGATCCCGTTTGGGTGTAAAATCATGAGAAGGTGTAAGTAACGGCGGTAGGATGAATAGTTGTGGGGAGAGGACATTTTTGGTATTGAAAAGCTATTACAGAAAAGATGAGAAACCATGTCCTGAAATGGTGGGGAAGATACAGAAGTGGAATAGGATTGGTTAGGAGATTGGACTTTCATGGATGACCTAGCATGAAGTAGTTTTCAAATGATAGCAGGGTCCCACCTACCATGACTTGAGTAGTGAAATAAAAATAGACATTGAGGGAAAGAAACCCATGATTTTTTTTTTCTTTCTCTTGATTTTTAACTTATGAGAAATATGAGGTGTGTACCATTCATACAGTTGTGATTGTACCTTGTGACTATAGACTAGTAATGTTAGGGCTGAAAATGGATGCATTTATCTGCACGTGGATTGAGATCATTGGAATGAATATTATATTCCTGGAGAGTGCAGAGACAAGGTGTCTATGGGTCAAGCACCTAAAAATAGTACATAAAATGGGCTGAAGTAAGGGGGCTGGTTGAGTCAAGAGCCAGAGAAGTTTTCAGAGTTAAATGGGTCACCACGGCAACTTTGAAGAACCCTAAGGTGATGACTGAGAAGAAACTTCTCATTGAATTAAGTGGTCTCATTATAGGTGACTCAGACACTTGCTTTACCTAGAGTTACCATTAGTCACTGATTGTCACATGCTTAATTGTACCGAGATTTATAACATGTGACACTGTTGGCCCAGAGAAGGTCCAGGTTTTAGGTCTGTAATAGTTATATATCCAGCGTCAAAAATGGCCTCTCTCCACAATTAGTCTTCATCCCGCTGCTGTTACTATGACCTTCCATTATAAGGAGCCCTGCTCTTGCTTTAAATCAGGGATTTTTTTTAAATGGACAAAATAAGTCCAGGGTGGTGGTGCATACCTTTAATTCCTGGAGGCAGAGGCAGTTGGATCACTGGTTCAAGGTCAGCAGGGTCTACAGAATGAGTTCTAAGCCAAGGCTACAAAGAGAAACCTGTCTCAACAAACAGACAAATGGTAGTATTCACCAAAGTCGATTTGTAGTGTTAGCTTTTGAATTAGACAAGCAGTAGAAGAGGAAGTAAATTGTTTCCTGTTTGAAACAAGATTTTGTTTTAATTATGATAGTACTTGACCAAGTTTTCAACTTTGTCTCTACAGTGAAACAGATTCAGATAGTTCAAGCTCCTCCTCTTCATCCTCGTCTTCATCTTCCTCCTGTGTATCACTTCCTCCAGTGCTGTCAGATGGAGAGGAAGATGCACAAGTTGAGAAGGAAAGTAAGAATTTTCCTCTTAAAACAAAAGATGAGTTGCTTCTTAATGTAAGTGCTTGGGTTTGTTACTTACATTACTTACTTGTATTACTTATTGATTGCTCCATAAACTTGGTGCCTCTTCTCAGCCTTGTCACATACCTCTGCCATGCTTTGACATTCTTTCATAAAGAGCCATGTGGAAAGTTTCTAAGGGTGCTTCTAACCTGACACTTGAGACTTAACTGATAATTGTGTAGAGGCATTGCCTTCGCTTTAGTAACTTCTTGGCTTTCAAGTCTTTAGAAGACTTTCGAGGTTGGGCACAGGCCAGTCAGTTTTAGACCACTTGCTTAGCATGTGTAAAAAACCTGGGATGCTGTGTTCATTCTCAGCACTACCAAAACATGAGAAAAATTACTTTTGTAGTTTCATGGCCCTCCTTCATTGTTTATTGCTGTTGTTTTTATCCACAAATCAGTTTCTTCCATAGTAATTGAAATCTTTTTAATTGATTGCTTTTAGAAGTGAAGAGACACCATGGCCACAAGAACTCTTTTTTTTTTTTAATTTTATAATTTAATTTAATTTAATTTTACATATCAACCACGGATTCCCTTGTCTCCCCCCACCCCCATGCGCATTCCCCCCAGCTCTCCCCCCATTCCCATCTCCTCCATGGCAAAGACTTCCCTGAGGATTGAGTTCAACTTGGTAGATTCAGTCCAGGCAGGTCTGAAGGTAGATTCAGTCCAGTCCCCTCGTCTCAGGCTGAGCCAAGTGTCCCTGTATAAGCCCCAGGTTCCAAACAGCCAGCACATGCACTGAGGACAGGTCCTAGTTCCACTGCC